TTGTTGTTTCCCATACAAAATTGGAAAACGACGCCGTCTACATTTTGTCACACTCAAAGGTATGTTTTTTACGCGTCTACATTTTGCGACCTCGCAGCAGGGTTGCATTATGGCAATACTTACCACATTTTTTTTATTTATTGGGCACGTTTTCTGTATTTGCATTTAATTTGAGCGCAATTTCTGATGAAAAGAAACAAATCAAGGAAAAGAAATAACAAATATTACGAATTGGTAATTAAGTTAAATAATTACAATTTTTCAGAAACAAAATCGAAAGGCGACATATAAAAAATGCACGCAAGGAAGAAATGTCTGGCAACACCAGCAAAGTTTTGAGACGATTTTGCGACGACTGCTAGAAAGGGGTGCTCACAGTTTGATGCTAAAGATGTCTCAAAATGTAGACGTCTACATTTTCAGACACAATTTGGAACGAACTGTGAACACCCCAAGTGAAATGGCTGGATAAATTTATCAGTAACACGTTTACGTTTCCATACAAAGTTTGACAGTTCATTTATAAGGTTTACACAATTATAAGTTTATACGGTTTACAATGCATTTATAAGGTTTGATGAATACCCTTATTATATTTCCGAATCATGTAATGTTAATGTAAATGTGTTAAATGAGCAATTTGTGTGTTTGCCCGGTTTTGTAAATAATATATGTTATGAGAGTTACAATTCTAATTCAAATGTCGTGATGTCCAGTTTTTGTTTTGAATATGTCGACGACTGTGAAGTAGTTCAGTCCATACTTAGTGTCAAATCCAATGCGGCCGGTATGGATGGTATTAATCCAATGTTTCTTAAATGTTTATTACCAAGGATCTTACTTACGCTCTGAATGTTACTTACGCTCTGAATGTTACTTACGCTCTGAATACCATCTTGACCACGTCAATCTTTCCCAACTCTTGGAAAAGAGCCAAGATTATACCTTTCAAAAAACCGAATAGTGACTACCGACCGATTGCAATATTGCCGTTTCTATCTAATGTGCTTGAGCGTATCATGGATCGCCAGATAAACGCTTTTCTGAATAACAACGCCTTGGTGAACCCATTGCAGTCGGGGTTTAGATCCAGTTGGAGCTGCACCACGGCACACTTAAAAGTGTCGGATGACATAAGACTAAACATTGACGAAAAGCGTGTGACTTTTCTTACTTTACTTGACCATTCCAAAGCATTTGACTCTGTAGATCACGAACTTTTAATCTTGAAGCTCAAAAACTTATTTAATGTTCCAACGTTGGCTTCAAGTCTTGTGGAAATATATCTCAGTGATCGGATACAAGCAGTACGTGCCGGTAATACTATATCCAACTTCTTACCTATAACCAGAGGTGTATCTCAAGGGTCTATACTTAGCCCACTTTTGTTTGTCTTGTATATTAACGATTTGTTTAGTGTGATTAAATATAGTGATGTCCATGTATATGCCGATGATGTTCAATTATATGTTAGCTGTCCTCTTAACTGTATTAATATTTGCATCAGCAATTTGAATTCTGACTTGAGATTTATAAGCAAGTGGGCTTCTGACAACGGATTAATCCTTAAACCTGATAAATCTCTATGCATCGCCATATACAGGAAATATGTCAAGCTTGACGACTATACAGAAGTCAGACTAAACAATGCTGTGATTAAATACGTGGACACTGTTAAAAATTCAGGTGTTACATTTAATAGAACTTTGACGTGGAGTAACCATATTTTTAGTGCCATTGGCAAAGTATACGGTATGCTCCGAAATTTATGGACTACTCAACAATTTACACCAGTGAAAATTCGACTGCTTCTAGCTAAAACGTATTTGTTACCAACGTTACTGTATGGTTGTGAGTTATACTTTCATTGTGTGTGCCGTAGTAAACTCAATGTTTTGTATAATAATATCGCGAGAAATTTTTACTGTTTTTGCGAAACAAGTTGCATCGATATCTTTTGACGATTTGCTTAAATTTAAATGTTTAGTGTTACTTCAGAAGATCATTACTACCCAGGAACCCAGATATCTCAAAGATTGACTTCTGTTTTCAAAATCTTGCCGTTCGCTGAACTTAGTCCCAATGAAATACAGTTTGGTGACTGAACGTCAATACTTTGTGTTCTCTGTCCGTCTTTGGAATAATTTACCCCCAAAAATTAAGTGTACAAAAGAGAACTTGCGCTTCAGACATGAATTAATTCGTTACTTCGCCGAACATTGCTGAATTTACTTAAATAATTTCTCATTCATTCAATTAATTTCCAGTTTAATCTCTACTACTATTATTTTTTTTCTTTCTCTAATACCTTCTATAGACTCATGGCCTTATTCATAAAAAATAAAGTAGCTTTATAAAAGGTTTATAAATTGAAAAATGTATGAAAACGTCAATTTATAAAGCTCTTTAAACCTACTTTATTTTTTATGAATAAGGCCATGAGTCTTATTACTTTTATTTTATTTTATTTTATTTATTTTTTAATCTTTTCAAATTTTATTGTTAAATTTTTAATTTAAGGTTAATCATTGTAAAAATAACCTATGGTTGTATATTTGACTTAAATAAATAAATAAATAAATAAATATTAAAGTGTACTTAATCAAAAGTGTTTTATTGTATATTCATGAATTCATTTTATTTTTTGACTCCCAAAGTGGTGGTTTTGGTCCATAATTGGACTAGTAGTTTTCTGTCTATTTTGAACCAGTATGAGACTGGTATTTTTGTTTATTGTATTTTTTTAACAAAATAAAAAATACATAAGAATTACATACAATGAGTCGTATGCATAAAAACTAAGCAATTGCGTTTTCTTAAAATTGCGTACCTTACACTTAAATTTATTTGATATTTTAATTGAGTAAAAGGTTTGAAATTTTGAGAAAAAGCATTTGCTTAGATTTTATGCATACGATTTGCAATTCATGACGACAATTTTAAATTAAAATTTAAAACGCAACAGCTTTTAAATAGTTGAACTCCACTGGTTTGAAGTTTTTGATCCAGTTTTAAAGTAGGGGTCTTCACACCGAGCTTGGTACTCGGTGTTTGGTATTTTTTTCCCAATGTATTTTGTTTGTATAAATTATTTGATAATCGTTGTATCGGTTACCGAATTTTCGTGAAGGAAGCTTGATAATTTTTGTGGTAGTTGGTAAACTGCAATCAGCTGCCAGCTATTTATTCAATTTTAAATCCGCCCGCTGCCGAAAGGCATAACGCATATGAGTAAGTAAAATTCCTTAAATTTTCTGTTACAATTTATTTTTGTTTTAGGAGAAAAGCTACGAATCCGCTGTTACGACGAAATCGTCAATTCGGCAACGCTGGTTTTAACTCTTCAATAAGTTCATAATAAACTTTATGCAATACATATAAATTGCTTTGTAGGACTCGTTACAACACAATTATTACAATAACATGTAATTTTTAAGCCAACAACACAACCGACTTCAATTCTCATATAAAAATTTAGAAGTACCGTGAATTTCTTCATGATCCAGTGATCGGACCTCCCCTGACGCAGCAGAAAAAGAATTATCGAAATTGGTTAATGTGGCCAAAGTTATGCGGTAACATACATAAAAAATATTCCGATGATGACAACCTCCTCTTTTTTGAAGTTTTTTAAAATGAGAAAAATTAATGAGGTAAATTATTATAAATTTTTAATAGCAATATTTTAACATATCTAACAAAATATCCATACAAAAATCTCAGAACCCCTTAAATTATGCTCTGCGTACGCCCATGACGCCATATTTTCTTTGAAATTGCTTCATTAATTCTCGTGCAATAAGCATTTTTGTGAAGCTCCAAAAATTACAACTACAACATTTGAGCATAGTCTCCATATCGAAACGTGAGACGTATTCTACGTAAAACAAAAATAAAAAATCAATCATGTGTTTTTTTCTTAGCGGCGTTCATTGTTTTTTTTTATCTTTTGTACTTTGACATTTCTCCTCTATTTACTAAAAATAATCGATAAATCCGGGTCGCAGACGGAGAAGTTATTTTTTGAATACAGGATTATATCATAACTAGGATTTCAGAGGAGAAATTTTGTATTCTTAATTACGTATTGGAGTGGTCAGCTCGAAAAAGCAGAAATTCTAGCTAAACAAAAAAACCTAATAAACCAAAATATTGTGAAATTAATTGAGGGCAAGAGTCTACCGGATATCCGAATCCTGCTCTTATTTTTTTCAGTATATCCGGAACCCGGCTATCCGGCACATCCCTATTAATAACCACAAAGACCGTTTCGCTCTGGCTACGCCACTACAACGGCAATACTGACAAATACGGTTATTAAGCAGTGAATATGATTTTATGTAAAAAATTAACAACTAAATACATATAAACAAGTGACATATACATATTCAATGAGATGATTACACGATCCCTTCAAGCGTGGATATGGAATCCCTCCGATTCATGGTGCTTCTCTTCCAATTCATTTGTTTTCTGGAAGTAGGGATTATGCCTTGGGTCTGTGTTCAAGCTGAAAGCAAATACAAAAATAATAAAAAATATAATTATAATAAATCTGCTAACTCTACATATACAGGGTGCCCTAGACCAGGTGTCCGTAAACTTTTAAGATGATGGAAGCTTTACTAAACACCTTTCATTTTATGGAACCACACATCAAATTACTAAAAATCAAAGGCAGTGCAATTTAAATATGAATAAAAACTCTTACTAGAAATACTAAAAATAAAAATCTTAATGTGAAGAATGAAATTGTTTCACTGCTATTAATTATTGTATAAAATAGTAGTTCGATATAATAGTGCCATTCATTAAACGTCGCAAAGTGACATTTTTGGCGGAATGGCAATGTTGCGAACAAAGTCGTATGAACGACCTATCCCAACTCCAGATTGCAAATGTAAAATTTTTAAATATGCCGCGCGGTAGAGAAAAAGACAAGTTTTTACAATTATCTGATATACTTCTTTTTGAAGCATTTGAAGATAATAAAAAAACATGTGTTTCGCGGCTTTGACTTTGCAATGATTGCCAGCTCAAATACTATGGCAATGTCGCAATTTTGTAACAAGAAAGTTTCCATACAAAAGTAATCAGCTGTGTCGCATGGTGGCAAATTTTGCGGCAAATGCGATATTTGCAACAACTTTGCGACGTTTCATGAATCCCACTAATCTCTGAAAGATGTATGCGCATTTCTGGGGTAGCATCCAATTTCGACCTGAATATGTTTTTGGTATAAGTGTATTTAGCTGAAAACCCTGTTGACAGAGTACGTTGTGAGAGAAGGAAGCAAAGTTAAGATGGCCTTTTTAGCGACTTCATGATATTTATTCTTACACTAACCCAAAACTCTTTGAGAGACACACATCCAAAGGTGTGTTCCAATGTCTAAGATCTAGTAATGCTTCGTAAATGGATTTTGCACCAAACCGATATACCGATACCATCCGAAAAATAATCTGATAAAGATTTCGGTGATTTACCAAGCGCCCAGTTATGACATTTCACATTTCATTTGGCAATTCATCGCGTTCCTTGAAGAAAGTTGTATATAACTAATGTGACCGTGACCAACCGTACTTCTTTCGGAAGTACGGTACTTCTTTTTTCGGTCTTGTGCTTCGTACTTCGAAGTACAGTCAAATGTAACCAGTTATCGACAATTTTCCGATCGTTACCGCACTTTTTGACGCATGATATAAATGTTTTTGCGTCAAAACGATCGATAGCGATTCGAAAATTGTCGCTAACTGGTTACAGAATCTTCCCCCAGGTCCTGTACTTCTCCGATCTTCTGGACGATCGTCACATGGCCTGGGCAATAAATTCGTTCAAACGATTAAAGTCCCCGGCGACCGATGGCATCATACCTGCGTAGCTGCAAAGGGCTCTGAAGATGTCGTCCAATCCTATTTATGCGAACTTCGTGAGGACCGCGTACATCCCCAAGGTAGTCAGTTTTGCGTTCATCCCGAAGGTTGGAAAAGGCTCTCATGTTTCCCCTAGGGATTTTCTGCGGATATTTCAGACAGAACACGCAACACGCAACACGAACTGCTATTAGGCTAAGGGAAACCGGGTCCTTTTGTGACATAAAAAAAGGAAAAGAAGACATTTCTCTGCTGCAGCAAATGTTTTTATAGGGCACTTTAAAACACGTTACCACTCAAGGGCTAGTGATGGGGCTTCTGACCGGCTATTGCGCGATTGGTATTCATGCGGTGAGACAAGGAATTTCGACTGATCCTTTTGTATCAGCTGTTAAGAGGAAGATGAAGTGGAATCATCTTCACACTTTCTTTTAGACTGTCCAACCTTCGCGAGGCTAAGATGGAAGCAGTTTCCCTCGCACTTCTGAACAAACACTGAGCTCTCAGGGATCGAAATTAGTCACAATAGAAATTTCGTAATCGGCTCGCGACGTTAAATTAACCCAACCTTACCTGTACTTCTTTGAGCTATGAAAGAGTTGGTCACATTATATATAACCTTTTGGCTACAGCGGCCAACAACACATAGTTAGAAAAAAAACAAGCTGTCAGGCGCAAGCTCAACACTCTTATTTAGGTAGGGCACTCAGTACGGCAATCATACAAACTACGAGTACATACACTCTAAAAAATTGTTGTTTAAATTAGGGCATATTAAGATAGGTAACCAGTTTCCTCTCTTAATGAATGCAAATTTACACACCGTGTTAATTAAATTGAACACTGCTTGCTTACTTTTACTTATCATATGTGTGACGTAAAACAAATTTCAAATTTGTTTTTTGAGTTCTAAACATTTATTGTTCACAATTTCACAGTTTACACAGAAAATGTTTAAAATTTCTTTTAAAAAATCTTAGTTTACATTTACGCCTATAAAGAGAGGTAACCAGTTTCCTCTCCTAGTGTGTGCAAAATTAAACACTGTCTGTTTACTTTTACATATCAAATTTGTCACGTAGAGAAAAACTACGCACAAAGTATTTTAAGTTGAGTAAATATGAGCCCTTAGCATTAGCGCACACAAGCCGTGGGTTTTGGGGTTCACAGGAAATTTTTCTTATTATTTCTGTTACTTGAAAAAGCAAATTTTCTTGAAGAAATAAATAAAAGAGCATTTTTTTCCTTACAACTGCAAACTGATTTAAGAAATTTTGATTGAAGAAAATTTCTTTTCGATTTCTTGTGCGTCATTTTGTAAGAATTTTTCGTTTTTCTTGAGAGCTCTTTAAAGTTTAACTGTGAATGAGAACATTTTCCTAAAAATATGAAATACATACTCACTTAATATTGCTTTTTACACTTTACAGCCTAAAGTTTACCACTGATATGTACCTAACAAGCATTCGAAGATTTAATTTGCTAGCTTCGAATTCGTTCCACCAAAATGGGCTACAATAAAAATATACAAGTTCAGTAAAATTTTCGGTATTCGAAGTATTAAAAAAATGAGAAACCAGAAATCGACGAGATGAACATAAAAGTGTAATTATTTAATTTATTTATATTAAAATTCTTTTGTAAAATTTTGTATTACTTTTGAAAGTTGAGTGTATCTTGTGTTTATAGAACTTTTTATTAAACAAGTAATTTTTAAGCGAAAGGCAAAACCGACTTCAATTCATATATACAAATTAAGGAGTACCGTTAATTATTCCATGATTTAATGATCGGATCTAAACCAAATTACGGGATGACCCTTAAGGTACCATCTTTACGGTAAAAAAAACAATTATTGGAATCGGTTCACGCGGTCCAAAGTTATGCGGTGGCATACATAAAAGTAGGGATGCAAACGATGCATCGATGTTTCTGAAACATCGATAACATCGGCAAAAAACCGATGTTTACCATCGATATTTGAAAATTACTCAGCATCGTAAAATTGGCGATATATCGATGCCAATTTTAACGATGTTTTAAACATCGACTTTAGTTTCGGTTCAAAATTGCCATTGCGTTCACATCTTTATGTTATATTCTTTGGGCTCTGTCACACGGTCAGTATTTATTGACGTGATCAAAGTATCGCGATATTTATTGACGGTGTAGTATGCAGTATTGATGGATCGTGATCCATCGCAAAATTTCTAAAAATTTTGAAATCTGGATCGCGGATCGCAATACCGTCAATAAATATTGAACGTGTAGCACTTTCAAAACGCGATCCATACATTTCTTCAGTACATCTTTTACTCTCATAATGTAAACATCGGCTCTGCTTTCACTCTCGGGGCTTAAAATCTTTCAAAACAAATTGAACAAATCTTAAAATAATTGTGGAATGCATTATCTGTAAATTATACGTACAAAATAAAAATATTTTCTTGCAAATACTGATGCGATAAATATTGAACATGTGGCATTCGTGCGCGATCCATCAATCCATCAATATGGATCGCGATCCAAATATCGTGATAATTACTGACCGTGGGACAGAGCCCTTTGGGTAAGTGTATTATGGGCGATGGCAGCCCTGCACTTAATAAAAGCAATTGGCAATGTTGAACATAGGCGATTTCCATGACGATCACTGTATTACAGGATTTGCAGGTTTTACAGGTAAAGCGGTTTTCGCCATTAATAAACCTTATGAAAGGTGGCGTACGTTAACCGTTTCCTGTAAAAACCTGTAAATCATGAAGTACCTGCAACATACCTATTAAAAAGAGAAACATCGGAATATATCGATGTATCGATAGTTTTAGGGCGATTTTTTTCGGCATCGATGTTAGTGTTTACGATACATCGAAATATCGATGTATCGATGTTGGCTCTGAAAATGTGCATCCCTACATAAAAGACGAAAAAATGCTCCGAACCTCCCCTTTTTTGAAGCCGGTTGAAAATGTTTGTGTTCTTTGTAAATTTTATGTAAATAAAATGCCATTTATGAAACTTTAAAAATTTTATTCATTTATTTTATACTGTACATAAAACTTGCTGAAATGTATTTCAAAGAGGGTATTATCTGAAGCGAGTTTTCAGTATTTTCGGATGATATATATTTAGAAGTATAAACTCCTCCCCCCGCCCCAACCAAAAAAAATATATTCCTGGGTGCGCCCCTGGCACTTTATATATTATAATATATATATATATATGTATATATAATATATTTTTACTTTCAAAATATTTGTAATTTTAAACATTTCATGTGCATATTTATGTGGTTTTTTAATGTGTTTGTAGTGCGTATTTAAAGAAAAATAGTAAACATTAGTTTTGTGTTCCGTGGAGTAGAACTAGCAAGCTAACAGGTAATGACGTGAACTAATAATAAAAAAATGCTTAATAATAATTAATTTTTATTTGAGTAATAATAGTTTTAGCTAATTTTTGCTCATTTTTCCAAAATTTAACATTTTTACCATTTATCCTCCTTACATAGAATAAAACAAATTTCAGGAACTCATTAATTTTGAAAGCTACTGAACGGATTTGTGAACATTTTTTAATAGAGGTATTATCTTTAGGCCTTTGCCATCTGTCTAAAAATTTATAAGATTCGCACCGT